ACAAAAAAAAACAGTGATTTCTTTAAATCGCCCTACAAATTCCAGTGCTGCTTACAAACATTATGAATAACACATGAAAATTTACCAATACTAATTTAATATAATAGAGAAAAATGAAATCCAATTGAAACAAAGACACCTCAAACATCAGATCCCTCAAACAAAAAAGAATTTAAATTTCTCCTAAAGTTATCGGAATTTTGATAAAAAGTGACATTCAAATTGTTAAAATCTGGCCACAAAATTTTGCCATGAAATTGATATTTAGGCTGCTGGGGCCCACTTACCATTGGAACAAAAACCTCAAAACTGTAACAAGCACTATTAACTATGTCATGTCATGTCAAAGTCCTTTGTTGTCAACTTATCTTTTAAAAATTAGTCAATTGTTCAGGATCATACATGTATATACATACAGATTTCTTTCTAAAAAGATGCAGAGCTTCAGATTTCAAGTAAAGTTAGATTTCAATCAAAGGTCAGCTGAAAGCATTGTTCCCAATCCCAAGCATTCTAATACTTATCCAAAACTAACATTTTGACCGACATATTATAACACAGAAACGTGTGTTAAAGACATCTGCTGTAACTTTTCTTTAACTCTTCTGCGCCTTTAGTTTCATTAAAATGTTGCTGGACGAAAAGTGATACTTACAACAAGACGTATTTAACAAGGAATTACCTTGCGACCCTGCCTTCCGTCCCCTCACGTCTTCACTTCACGGCATTCAACTCTCAAGTGACTAGGCCTAGTTTGGAAGACAGCTCGCACTACGATGACCAATCAGTTATTGTTATGCAAATTGATACAGGTAGGGCTCATTTTAGATGAGAGGTTGTTGCTGACGCTGTTCACGAATGTTGACAGTCTAAATAAATGTAACTGGAGCACGCTTGTTCTTGAAATAAATCACCTTTTTTTTTTTCTTTTTTTTTTAGAAACTTAACTTAAAGATGAGTCTTCATCCATACGCTTTCATATCCCCGTAGTTAACCACTCGCACAAAACTGAACACTACGGGATAGGAGGTGCTAATACGTACGAAAATTGGAGTGCGTGCTGATACAATTTTGTACCGGTAAGTCCATGTGCTGATACTCCCGTTACCGACATCTACACAATAGAGCCTTTAAATTAGAGTGCCTTTGGATCCAAGTAACGGTAGATCCGAAATAAATACCGCCTCAGAAATACCGCACACCTATGAATCCACATACAATAAAATCCACATGCCTAGTCAAATACCGATAGATTTTTTGTAAGTTGCACTAAAATCTTAGGATCCCAAGGGGTCAAAATGTATATGTAAGCGCAGCCATAGTGGTGGCCCTGCACACACTACGTTTGTCGTCTAAATATTAAAATCACTGAATGTTTGTTCTCGTCTTATCTAATAGTTTGTGCAGGAACATTAGAAAATGTGTACAAGGGATGATTTATTTTATGGTTGTAAACAAACACTTTGAAAGAAAATACTTAATAACAATAATAAATCTAACTGATAAAAATGGCATATTGCCGAACAAGATGGTTATCTTCCAAATAAATGGCCACTAACTATATTCCAGCATAAGTTTTATCAGATGTGCATAAAAAAGTAGACAATGTTTCAAAAGGAACGGCTACAATAGAATTCATAGATGATCCCCAAACGTTACGTTTTCCTTGTAGGTCCAGCCTCTTGGTTGTGCTCCCCCTCCCTCCCCTCCTCCTCCTCCTCCCTTAAATAAGCAGCTCTTTCAAACAGCAATAGTCTGCAATAAATGGAAAATTTTGATTCGTCTTATGCACTGCTTTAGGTCTATTGGCTCTATCGACAGAGAAGTTATATACCCTGCTTGAATTTATGAGGACGGCAGGCCTATCTATCGATAACACGAATTTATGAGCACGTACAAGTCTTGGGATGCTTGCTTTTCCTGATTTAACCATGGAAGTTATCTTGTTGGATAAACTTTATGAAGGAAGTGGATTCTGCCGATGCGTTTTCTAGATCTCCTCTAACACAATGGGTGAATTCCATTCATACACTTGTGCATTCCGGTATATAGAAATCTAGCGGTCAAGTCTGTTACCAGCGGTCAAGTATGTTACCGCACGGTAACCGTAACTCCTTGAGGCAATTACGAAGACATGTTGTCTACTATCGCAATGATAAAAAAACTCCAAATCACCCAAATCCGACGGATTTTTGAACCCGAGCTGTTTTTTAGCCAAAAGAATCATTCCTGTCAGTTTCGGAGAAAGCAATGCAGTTTTTCTTGTGTTACACTGTGACTACAAACTTTGAAAAATTGTTTGGCTTGCTAGATCTTATCTTTAAGTTAATAGGAAATTTCATTAGCTGCATTAGTTTTGGAGTTTTTCGTTAATATCCAAGATCCCTTAACGAGTAAAGTGCACCATGATGTCGACAACATTATGCACTAAGATATAACAAACACGGGAATTAATTTCCTCATGTAAACTTTTAGTATTGTTAAATAAAATCGTAATACAACAAACAAAAGAAGAAAAGAAACAACAATGTTACGTATTTGTCTCCATTTTTTTTTATTTTCTTATATTATTATTTTTTTTAATTTTGCCATGGAATAGAAAGTTCATTGATGTCTGCATTATACTTTCGAGGGATTCAACGTTAAAACCCCCAATTCTAAATAACACTGTTTTGAGTAGTGAGTGAAAGTCTGAAGTTCTTAACTCCTGAATTCAATCTATAATACCGATTTCAAAAGAGCTATATCCTTCAACGAATACTAAAGTAACAATTATACCGGTATCTCGTAAATAGCAAAGATCTAACAACCGTACATATTTACGGCACACGCCTTAAATATTTTCTTATTCAATTTCAAAACCTTATAAAAATTTGAAACTAGTAGCCTGTTTGTTTATCAAAATATAAACATTCGTTGTTAACAATGATTTGTAAATTTAGATAGACTAGCCTTTTGAGGAAGGGGGCTTTTGAGTAGAATGCCCAGCATAAGAGCAATATACAATTTCAAATAAAGCAATTTCGTATCATCTATATTATGCAAAAATCTAATCAAACAAACATGAACTTTGGAATTTCATTTCAATCACCCAACAAAAATACGAATTCATTAGCAAATTTGTCACACTTATCCTTACATAATCACCCACTGTTACTTTAGAAGCACTTAAAAAAGAATAGGAGTGAGCGATCTCCACGTCCTTGAAAAAGAAATAAGAAAATAACAATGCTGAAATAACATCACGAAATAACAGTGAAAATGACGTGCATGTCGCGATGCAATGGTAACAATAATGGCATAAGGATATCAATGGCAAATGACAGTTGCAATGCTATATGACGATTGATTCTAAACAACTGAAATCTATACATGTTACAATGGCAAAAAAATTTGTTTTAAAAAAATGACTAAATGTGTTCATACAAACAAAGTGCACAAGGAGAGAAACATCGAGTATAACTTATTTCTGACACGATCTACACCAACTAATAAGGTTAATGAAAACAAACTTGGAAAGTAGATTATGGATATATCAGACATACATTTCTTTTTTCTAAAATAAAGAGTACAAAATATACTTAGGATTGAGAGAGATCTAATCCCCATTAGAATAATACATTCATTAGACCAACAAAATGACTTGAAAACAAAGGACAGCGAGTTTAACTTAGTGAACAACTCTCACAAATACAATGAAAAGTCTTTGCATTGTTGAATCTCTCCACTCATCGAAATTGGACCTTTAAACTTAGAATAAACATTATCTGGATATGTGAGAAACGTGCTCAAGGAAATAAATGCGAGTTAATACTAAAAGTATCAGAATTCACAAATAATTGGTCAAACTTAATACAAAGAAGTAACAATGTAGCTACATGGGATAATAAAGCCTCTTTTTCTCTCTTTTTTTTTTTTTTTTTTTTAATGTGGCCTCTGGAGTATCACAGTCACACTTGCATGGCACTACGGAGCATACTCCAGTCAATCGTCTGCTTCTTAAAAATGCTCCATCATTTATACTATCTTATAAGACTACGATTTTTTTATCATGCCGAACTTCTCCTGACTGTGAAAGTAATATATCGAGGACAATTTCTAGAAAAAATATTCAATGTGCAAAACAGGGCCAAATTCATTTAATTTTCAATTTGAAGTGAGAAAAATAAGATTTTACTGAATTACATTTTGCACAGCAATGTCAGCTTCCATCCCCCACAGAGTTTTAACTCCGAAAATCCCCCCTGATTCATTGTGATGATGGAGCATCTTTAAGACTAGACAGCTCATACACAGCTCACGTAAGACCAGACCATAAGTGACTAATGCTTAGCTATATGTAACTGCCTAAACTGTGTTACCATGGCAGTGACTGTTTGGATACTGAATGAATGTTCGTATACAATATCATGTTCAATATAAATTGAGCAAATATTAGTATGAGGCATCTCAGGGCTGTTGATATACACATCACCCTGTGGAACACAGGTATCCGATGCTTGGATAAGTACACCGCTTGAAGGGCAGTACATCAAGCAATCCGCTGTGTACTCAGGGTGTGGTGCACACAATCAGCCCCTAGTTACCTATTCAATAATGGTATTTTCTAACAATCGTTATCTCCAATCAAGCTTGATTACACGAAGTTAGTTACTTAACATTTGCTTTTGTTGTGTGTGTCTCAATTTTACTCAGCTGTGGAGCAGTAGAAAGAGCTTTGAAACTTTAGGGCTAATGATGGCCAGGCAGCCACCTCTACAGCACAGCACAGCACCCTGCTGCCCTCACCGGTAGAACAAAACTCTTCAGCGCTGCACCCCATTTCTTTAAGTCCTCTCAACCTTTGAGCAGCCATGAACCTCTGAATACAAATACAAACATGATCTCATTAGCTGGTCCCCTCATACATTCAATTTGATTTCAGATTCGTGCATCAAACAGTCCATTTCGATTGCGCTCTTTTCATCTCTGTCACAGTCACTGCTCCCACTATTGCTTTCCTCGTCGTTTATTCCCGTGCTTAGGGAGCTACACGTGGAAAGGTCTTTCACCATACGACTCCTCTCTGCGGGAGGCAGTGTTAAGAGGTACCTCTTTCTGTGGGATAACACAGCTGGTCCCCACTCTGGAGCAGGTCGGACTAGCTTCTTCACACGCTAAAATTAGATAGGGAAGAATTAGCCATCATATGTTATCTTCTCATAAATAAAAAAGATCAACATATTCAACATACCACCAATATATATATTTTTATATATATATATATATATATATATATATATATATATATATATATATATATAATTCTTTCATATTTCTTCCAATATTTATCTCTCTACAACACTGTCCCAACAAACAATGTTTTTTTTTGTTTGTTTTTTTGTTTTTTTAATGCATAGTTGTAAATTTCTCACCACTAGATGTATACATACCTCTACAAAAGAACCTTCCTCCCTCAAAATCTTGACAATCATGACAATTGGTACTGGCACCATGGAAATGGATGCCATCACCCAGCCTAGCCCAACGGCCCATTCAGGATAGACAACATCGCCATAGGTGACAGGAGTGTGCATGGCCAAGCTGGCGATTAGGATGAACTGAAAGGTAAAGACACATATGAGATTAGTGTGGAGAAAAAAATGTAGGAAGTACAAGAAGGAGCTTTGTTTAATTTGAACTTAATTCTAATACACATGCCAGAACATGAATTTGTTCAAAACCAACCAATTCAAAATAAAAATGCTGAAAGGTGCGATGAATTCAAGTCAGAAAGCTATCTCATGAAAAAGTTTCAAAAACGTTCCAGATCTCGAAAACATAAATTGTTTTTTAAAAAGTGTTTAAAATTTGTAAATCATTACCACAAACAAAAAAGGCAGATCTGTTAAGTTATTTAGAAAATGCTACATACCACAATCACCAAAGGAGTGACGTAACACCAGGCATACTTGTATACAATTGGAGGTTTGTACCCAATCATCAGCTCAATGTCCTTGTAAAAACGATCCACACCTGGGGAGAGGCAATAATAACTATGTGTAAACAAGTCATCATTCAAGAAAATTCAGCAACTCTGGCCAATAACCATTTAAAAAATGGCAGAATAAATTTTTTAAAGAGATTTAGAATTATAGAGCCTTAGAAATAAATATAATTTTTATTTTTACCGTAAATCCAGGCAATGACCATGCATTCCAAGAAGGAGAGGATCATCAGGGAGAATGTGGCGCAGTACCAGTCCATGATTTGTAGAATGTAGATGCCACCCTGAAGATAACAAAACATTAGAACATTAACACACACACGATCTTGGTTCACTCTTACCCCATAACTGTGAGCAAACCAAGGTTAAGACAACACTTACAGATAGCAAAATGAGTTGAAAGAGGCAATCATAACTAGCCTCATAGTACAGTGAAAATGAATTCAATCTAAATGCCAGTGGTCAAAAATCCATTGATATAGGTGGCATATACATGTGCACAGTACACTCTCCCCCCCCATCCCATCCTCTATAAACCTACTGGAACATGACTACCCACTCAAATTATAATTCAAATTACATCTTAATAAAAATGGAAATAGTTAAGAAACAGACTTACCTGCATGACAAGTGGTATGCCAATCAGGAATTCTACAACGCACATCACAGCCGTGAACAGCATCTTTCTCTTACGCAGAAGTTTTGGGAACTCGTCAAGAAAAGCACTGGTCATGGTTTCAAACATCCCAAACTACAAAAATACAAAGCAGAGAATAAGCAGGGATATCGTTATAAAGGGTGCATTTACATTTGAAATGCACAGCAAATATCGAACCTTAAAAGAACAGGCAGGAGCCAGGAGTTGCATTTTTCTTATTATAATCAGTTAACCATGATCTTTGAGGTTTATGACAAGCGTTCTCAAATTTAGGGTGCATGAGCCCATTATTGATTTACATGTTCCACGGGAAAAGTTCCCAACTCCACTTCATGACAGTTCTTTTAAAGTTTGATCTTATACTTATCGTCGAAAATTTGCACATTCTAATCGAAAGGTTAAGACTTAAGGCAAAAACAAAATTTTGTTAATAATTTACTTTAATTTATTAGATCAACTGTGAAAGAGATTTAACGATGTGCAAATTTTCTCTACTTTACTTCTACTCACAAGTATCATAGGACCTAATCAGGAGCAAATCCAAACAAATTTAGAAATTTTTTGGTTATTTAATGGCCAGAGATTTCAGTTTAAGAACAGAGTTTGAGATTTCAAAATCCATCCAATTATACTTGTGAGTGACATATCAAATGCATATAAATAAATATCTTAATATAATAACAGATGCATTATGCAGTAAGGCAAAAATGTAGCTCTGTTGTTCCGTGTAAGCAGGGGTAAAATTCTTGTTTTTAATGTGACCACAGTTTCATTGTAGCAAAGTCCACATTTTAGATTTTACCCAGTCAAAACTGGTTCATTACCATTCCCTTCCCTACCCATATGTTTCTATATACATATCCAAGCACATTAAAGTTTAATGTGAAGAAACTTTACCTCAAATCAACTGTGTCACTATTATTTTGCCAAAGTGCACCCTGAACTTAGTGCTATTCTCTTCCACCAAATAAAATGTCCTATTCACATTGTAGCAGCGGCAAAATGAAACGATTGCATAGACAGCATTCTATTTCGATTCTTTTGCTTTTTTGTAGAAGGATGAACAAGATGCATTCTTGATATGGCACAATTTGTTTTCAGTATGTCTATAATATCTTAGGATATTTACTCAAAAAATGAAAGCAAGATAATATTTTCAAAAACCTGTCATCAAAAGGCACATGTCAGAACTGAAATTAAAAATCTATTTCTTTCTTTTTTTTTTTTTTTTTTTGAAAAATGCCAACCAGAATTTCACACCAAGTTAATCTCCCTTCAAAATGCTAACTTCACATCAGTGAACTGTCCATGAGCAATTTTCCCTGCTACACGTAAAAACAGACCACATACAAAAATGCTGCATTTTTGCCTCGACTGCACACATACTTTAAAGCATGACAAAATGCAGCGAGGATTACAAGTTTAACTTAGAGTCAGTCACATTACTTTGGTTGTTGCCGCCGACGAGACTCTTGAGGCAGCCCCCACAACACATCATCCGCTGGGGTGGAAAAAACACATTTAAGTCGCGATGAAATAAAGCTGACAGAGCATCTCACGATTGCAAATCATCAACTGGAAAAAAATACTCAAATTTCTCATCCAAAATGGGTATGCCGCAACAGAAACAAAATGCATGAATTATATCATGCCTCAACATGAATTATTTTCAGTGCTGTCTGCACAAAATGTGATTTTTCAGAAATCTGACTGGTGATTAATACCCTGAATATTTAGGACAATGGATACTCTGTCAGTTTACCCTAGCACATCCCATGGCTCTAAATGTTTATATGATACATCTCTAACACATCCAACACAATGTTATCACAAAATGCCTGATACCTTTCCTTTAAGTTCTTTACAATGACTCTTGCCAACCTCAAAGAAAATCAATATTTTTAGGCAATTACAAAGCCATGTGTCAACGTCTTCAACGTATTGCTCTACTGAAGATTCTTTCTAGCTATGCATAATATTGATTCCATGAAAGAAGTAATGAAATACTCATCTACAAAATTGCCAGTCTGTAGTATGAAAAAATCAATACAGATGTCAAAACTACACCATTTACAAATGCTTCTTTCCAATATGACAAAAACATGGGTAAAGTAGTCTTCAGTAAAGCAAGATTACCAAAAAAAAATTTTTTTTTAATTCAGTTTTAGCACTAGCAGCCACGTGTTACACAACAAAGGAAAAATCTACTGCATATCATCAAGGTTGTGGTTGACGTGTCAGCATAATAAATTATGTGTGCAGATTTCCTGTGGAAATTTCCATCATGATCATACATTATTGGATTAAACATGACTAGCAGATGACGCATGATTACAGCAGTGGGAATAGCTTTAAAATGTTTATCAGGAAATGCACTTTACCTTACCTTGATCTGCTACAATTTCATATTCAGTAAAAAATATTAGTCAACCATGTAAACAATTAAATTTACCAAATCTTGGTGTCTTTGAGTAAAAAAAACAGCAAGACATAAAATTATGTCTAACACAATAGTTGCTAATTTCAAAAGTAAAAAATATCCTTCACATTATGTCTCAGAGAAAAGATGACATAGGCTTATGCATGCAAATCTTACTTTAGCACAATACTAGTTAAATTATATTTTACATGTATATAAAGGGGAAAAATACACATTTGCACAAAAAAAATGAGTACAGAACTCTTACATATTATCATCAAAAAGGTAGGGCTATTTAAAAAAAATCACAAAAATACCAGCATCAGCTTTGCAAAAAACATGGTAGAAAAATATCTACACAAAAATATAACCAGACTCCATTACATGTGATTAATAGTTTGCTGATAAGGCATTACCTTTGTTTAAATATGAGCCACAGGATGTTTAGTCTTCATTTTATCTGATGGTTGGAAAGCAGGACATAAAGTTATATGATACAAAAACAATTGTATCGTATACAATAGTATCCAGAAACTTTCATCCCTCAAGATAGAAATCAGACAAGCTAAAGAGTAATAAACCTGCTTCTTCAATGAATATAAAACCATAAGTTGATGAAATTTGATATAACAGGTTCATACAACTACATTATTCATGATATAGAGGCACCATATGATATCAGTGGATAAAATATTTCAAGATATGGTTTTGATAGCAATATTTTAAGCACATTTCGGCCACTGCTGTCAAACAGCAATGTCAATTAAGAGTATGCTGAATATAAAAATCCACTTCTGTTTGTACCAAAATACAAAAACTATGGTTTCTTTTGCATTTTATTATAAAAATGGAAACTTCCAAATTGGGGAAATTTTTGGCACTGATATCATATGGATTTCCTTTTTGAAGAATGTGATAAAATGCCACAGAATCACTCCTCTCATTCCTATATACAGCACTTTCTCTTTCACATTCACAAATGAAAATGGCACAAGAATCTAGCAAACAGCAGTCACATTCAGTGTAACCAAATCTTTGAATCATTGAATTTTTCTTTGAATGTCTTTCAAGCATAAAAAAGTGTATCCAAATATTAAATGATTTTTGTAAAAAATAATTTCTAAAAAAAAACAAAACATACTGCATTATTTTAATACAATACAGCACCTATAACCCAAAGCAAAAGCTCAATTTTGACTTTAAAATATCAATCAATTTCATTAAAAAAATAGCACAAAGCAATTAAACATACACCTTACTTTTATACTATAACTTTTATAATATATACTAAAAACAGCCATATTCATATCATCATTATTCCATTCACACTCATCACATGACACTTAAAAAGCAACCACACAACAGTTCCTCTCTTACTTCACATGCATGGTATATAAAATCAAAATGTGCATAAATTTTATATGAGCCACCATTCCTAACCATTCTACACAGATATAGGTGTCAGCACGGAGAGCGAAATGGTCACAAAACTGGTAGTTTCCGGTGAGTTAAGATATCTTAAATAGTATATACCCAAGATATTTTATGGAAAGAGCTCAGACCACAGAGCTGCACTGGTAATATCTTATTTTTGTATCCTATCTATGGGATGATGAGAACTTTCTACTGGTCATGATAGACCGACTCCATTTAACTACCCTCTCTGTACCAGGTGGCACCAGATCCACTCCTTGCAATTGTACTGTCGCACCTTCTATTTCACACAATTGTGCTCCACGTTTTTTCTTACATTGCTTCCATACTGCAACATCCCATCACCTTCAGTGGGAAGACCAGGGGGCATCTTTTTTTTTTCTTTTTACATACACATTTTTCTGCCCTACAAACATTCATTCTCAGCCTATTCATATCAACACATGATGGATTTGCTTTAACCTTTCACAATGCATACCACTTGTCTACAGCCATTCAAAAGCCTAGGTTCTTTCTTCATCATAATGCTCATGAATAAAATTTTTCTTGTGCAAGAGAGAAAAATCTAACTGAAGTACTATTGTTAAACAGTTTAAAGGCTTTTTAAATCCCAGATGTACACTAGACAAGTAGATCATGTGAACAAGCCACCTCAGAATGATTTCTAGGGCAGATTCTTAAACTAAATGCTCCAAAACACAGAATGTTATGATAATGTGCAGCTGTGATCCGAGATCTTTTTTTTTTTTCATAATGATAATCTCTACCAAGTTGTAATGTTTGTCCATGGCAGTTAAATGACAAGTGACCATTTCAGACAGCTCAAGTGTGACCAATACACCCATGAAGAACAGTACACTGAGTCATGCACGATAGTTGTACAGAAAACCAACTGTATGCCCAACATAAGCAGCCACTACTCGTTTCCAAGAAACAGCTAATGGAATCAATATTATCAGCATGAGGGTACCACGATTCACAAGCTTTTTCAGGTTGCTTTTCACAAAGAGAATGTATTACCCAATTTTAATGAGCAAGCAAATAATTAATTGGAGATCTCTCTCAGATGCAGCTTTTAATATACCAGTTGGCAATTTTAGAGCTGCTGCTTATGCCGATTTGCACACAAATATATTTGTTGTTGTTTGTACATTTTCTGCATTGACCCAAGGTTCAACAAGATTAAGATTACATGTTGTATAAGTATCACAGAGCTGCTCTTTTCTTAAATGCAAGACAAAACTCACACCCAGTTTATAAAGCACAAAGGGGAAATTTTAATCATGAATTAAATTTCTTGTAAATGCTGGGTTATTGTCATTTATCAGAACTATCTTTGCAGAGGCCAAATAAAATGGAAGGGGAAATTTTTCTGTGAAGAAAGTGAAAATAACCATGTTTAAATATCAGAAACTGAAGTATCACTTTTCTTTTTACGTCCTAATTAGAAAAACAAAATGTTTTTGCCATTTATTTTTCTTTCAAAAAGACAATGATATTTCAATTTTGAAATCCTGCACTGTGTAGGGCAGCTCTGCTGTATAAAAGCTGGACTGACATGCCAATTTCATACTAAAATTAGCTTGCTCTATTATCTGGGAAGACAATGATATTGACGTCAAATCATCGATCTCCAAAGAAAGAGAATATAAAGTATTTAGTATTTGTTCTGCTTAATGTAAAAATAAATGTTGGTCAGTCCCACACAGCAGAGACATCTTATTTCAGTAAATTTACACTATGTATGTTTCAGGATATTTCTTAACATGTTTCAGGATCTATATTTTGTTAAAAATATCATTCTCTTTTACCCCATGATAATAAGAGCAACAAAAATTGTCAGTCCTGCGAGATACACTTCGCAATATTGTGAAGTGATGTCGCCATGGAAACCATTTTACCTGACTGTCAAGACCAATGGTGAACAACATGAGAAAGAAGAGCACTGCCCACAGTGGAGAGATTGGCAGTTTAGCCAGAGCTTCAGGGTAAACCACAAACACAAGGCCTGGACCTAAAACAGAAAGGAAGATTAGGATAAAACTAAAGGGCCTCCAAAATATACTTACACAACTTTGACAGCTATAAACCTTTATAAAACTTTCAAAGAATGGATATCAAAGAAATCTTATTAAAATTGGTTATGATTTACAAATGAGCCAAAACACGCAGAGATTCACGGTAAAAATGATTACCTACCTTGTGTGACCACATCTTTGATATCTTGGCCAGTCTCGTGAGCCATGAAGCCAACGATGGAGAAGATTACAAATCCAGCGAAGATGCTAGTACCACAGTTAATGGCAGGAACAATCAAAGCATCTCTGAAAGTAAAGAAAAAGGGATCTTTTGCTCAAGCATACATTATTTTCCTTTTTGTGAAAATTAAAATGGTACAACATATTTAAAAAAAGAACAAGATTTGAAAAATGTGCAAAATATTTCAAATATATAAAACACACTCATATTATTTAATAATTCTGTAAGCCACAAAGAGTTGGATAAATACATAGGCATAGAGAAAAAATAAAAAATCCCAATGATAAAAGAGAATAGATGGATATTAAAAATCAAGATAAAATTCTTTTACACTTATTGAAAAAAAATAAACGAAAGAGTTACAAAATTTAAAAACTTAACCGGTAAGCTTTGAAACTCATGTGTCATATATATATAAAATGCAGTCTAAACTTCACTGTGTATACATGTGAATAATTCACTTTCTGTCAGTTTGCACATGCTGGTAGGTTTTATTCAAGCATTCATTTGCTACAATGCAAGCTAAGGGCATGGGAACCAGGTTTACAAGAAAAAGAAAAACTGACTCTGATGAAACAAAAAGCATTGATTGTGGAAAATTTTTCATCACTTGTTGAGGCTAATACTATCAGAGTTAAATGCCATGGTTAATATTTTCCGCTCCTTTTGTCCTTATGTTAAATAGAACGTTTTGAGTGCCAAGGTAAAATTCTTTGAATATTTTATTTACATTTACGTCCTGAATAGTAGATCTTTCAAACATATCAGTCCCGCATTCTGCATCAATAATGGCATGTTCGGCTCAGGTGAAGCTTAGCTGTGGTATTTAAAATATCCCGCATTCACATCAAGTCCCCAAGGAGGCATTAAACAGCACTCTACCCATTTTTTAGCAACAGCAGCGATATTTGATGCCAAACATAACTGCCCTTCTATTGACAGCAGACTGAGAGGAATATCATGTTTAAGTCACAGATATATTTACTGGACACCTCTGTGACAAAATTCAAAAAAGTTTTGTGGAATGATATTTCTTAATCTTCCATTTGATATTCTATTTGTGTATCAAGTACTTTATTAAAAATAAAACATCCCTGAACTAACTTCTATTCCAATTGTCAATTTTACTTTTTCATTGATTCACCCCCAAAAAACTACTAATGCATCACATCTGATTTTTCAGCACTAATTCAACTGTTATGGCTTCAGATTCTCTGCTGTGGCAGAATTAACAGATTACAAAAACATTACATAAGTTTATATAAACTTAATCTACACTGCATCAAGTCAAGTCATGTAGTATACCAAAATACACCACACGAAATTGCACCTTGGTCTTTTCATAACTTAACCTCATCAAACTTTGTTTTATGTGTTCAGCAGTCTGCAAATAAATTTGATAGCTAACTTCTCACAAGACATTAACAATATCAGAGTAGTTTTTGTTTTATTGTGTTAACCTTTTAAGCTGTGTCTATTTTGGGTTGTCTTTCATATACTCTTGCATGTCAAAGGCGCGCAGTTGCAAAAATATTCACCCCTCAGAGGCAGCAGAAGAAGCCGAGGCAACTAATCAATATAGTCTGCATGGTATCAAGCTAACCACAGAAATCCAATACAGGCTTCCCAGAGGCAACTAATGGCAGACTGTTTTCCTAATAAAGGTTGCTGAACACTGTGAGCTAGCTAGCTATCTTCCATGGTCAGATGGAGTGCATCTGGTTATGTGCAGACAGTGCATTTCTGACATAGCTACAAATGTGTTTTCACATTGTTATATTATGCTCTGCTCAGCGTAACAAAACTTGACAGTCAGTAATAAATGACCTACAGGAGAGATTTTCCAAAAGGATCCTACAGGAAATTTCCATAAGGGATACGGGATGTTTAAATCTAAAACCTTTTAAAGCATCATATCATTATTAATGTACTGAAGGGAGCAAAAAAAAAAAAAAATGCAAGCTAAGTATGAAATAAATCTACATCTTCTGACATAAAATATGAAATTCCACAAAAAATGCCAATAATTGTTAACCAATCACCTAGATGAGAAGGGTATCTAGTGGGGGGGACTGAAAGGCTGACACTGTTCAGTGCCATCTCAACAAAAGTTGTAACTTGTATGGTATACCCGTCTCTTCACTTACTAAGTAATCTAATGTCAGCTTTTTAATTATTTTCATAGAGGCTTAGTACAAAGATTTAGTTGTATAAGCAGCTTAGAAGCCGTACATATATAGCATCTTAATAAGATACTGGTTGAAAAACATGCAAGAAGCACCGCAAAGTTAAGACATCCGCTCTCACTAAAAATCTAGTGCTCTTTACATGGAAATAATGAATTTGAGAGACATCTTTCGGGGCCATGTTTCTTCAAAGATTTAGCTAAAGGAGACACTAATTTCAGGTCTTTCCAAACAGCAGTGTCTAACATGCAGGTAATTTTATTAAAAAAAAAAAAAAAAAAAAAAGCATTATGATAAGCACTGCACTGAAAAAAATCTACAAAACAAACTAAATCAAAATCTAACAAATTTTCCTTAAGTTGTTGAAATAAATATCATACATTTAATTTCTTTTTTACATCATGACAGTGAATGATATATTTACCTGAAGCAGTTGTTGTTGAACTTGTTGTAACTAGACATAGTGATGAGAGCGCCCCAGGCTGCACCCACAGAGTAGAAAATCTGAGCTGCAGCTTCTGCCCACACCTGAAACATGAAAGGCAAGAATTCTCTTTAATAGGTAAAATTATGAAACTACAACATTTGGAGAACTTGGCAGGTTTTTTTTTTAATAACCAAAAGAACAGTACAGTATTTGTCTGTTACATTTAAACACATTGCTTCTTTTTTCTGAGATTGTAGCAGTGGTGAGTAATGGGAGGGAGGGGGGGGGGGTACATTTTTAGTAATGTGTACAATGTTAAATGTACAGAAGTATTCAGCAAAACTGCAGACAAAATGAAACCCATTTCTTTTACTAATTCTATCAAGCTTAAGACAGCCAAGTATAATTTTGTAAATGGGAATGATTAAATGCAGATAAGCATGCTATTCAGCTTACAAGGCAATTTTTCTCAAGCAGTGTTTTTCCTTGCACAATATCTTGACAAAAGAAGGTCACCTTCACCATTTTGTAATCAATAGTATTTTCCTTTGTTTCCTTTTCCAGACAGATGTACTGGAGAGCTGCTTATTGAAAGCTTCCAAGAAAAAAATCCGTGTACATGCATTAGATATTCCATCATGCAGGCAACCTCGTGCTATATTGATTATTTGTCTCAGCGATGAATAATGGGAGTTTAGCAGATTGCAAATTTTGAGGGATTAGTCATTGCGTGCTGGTTTGGAGCTGCGCCTGTCTAATCCAGCTAGGGAGTAATTACCCATCAAGCACATAACTAACAGAATCTTGTTACTCAGAAACCCAAAATCATAAAACCTTGGGAACCTTATGAACAATTTCTGTAAATGATCATACTGCATGCAACACATGCTTGAACCTGTCAACAGAGGTGCTATAGAAAATGGACCAAGTATGAACAACATGATGGACGTTGCTGTTTGATTTTCCACTGATTTTCCACACAATTTGAGATAATTTGGAGAAACATGTTGGTTCTGCACTGTTATCTATTATCATATTTTGGGCAGAAATGTTTTGTTGCTAAATACATTCAGAACAGGAAATTGAAAAGCTGGATGGTTTTGAATTGCACTGAAATCAGAACTGTTCCGAGAACTTGAAGACCTGTCTAAGTACCAAGGATGGGTCTAGCACTGATGCAAATATTTGTACTGAAATAACTCATAGTCTGAGTAAGAATACCTTTGCATTTGAACCTACACTGGCATTCAAAACAACTGCTATATTTTATATGCACTGAAGTACCTTAACCAAATTTAATTTAGACTCTAGGCAGCTTAATCTCAGAAATAACACGTCACTGGTATTTTTTTTAAATATGTGTGTGTGTGTGTGTGTGTGCGTGTGTGTGTATTGTGATTTAACAAGAATACTTTCTATGAAAATTGAACCAGTGAATTTCCTTGTGACCTTTCTTAACTCGAGCAACTCTGTAAACGAATGCCTCTAATCTATAATTTATTCTTCAACGTAGCACATTTAACCTTCCACATAGCACCCTCAAATGTGGTGTGCATGAGAACTACTGCTATATTTTCAGACATTTTAATGCAATGGCCTATCTTAAGTATGTAATCTAAGATAATTATGGCTTTGGTAAAAGTAATTCATTTCTTTGTTATTCATGAAACAGCAAAGAAAAATCAAAAAGCAGCTAAATTTCAATTGATGACACAGCCACAAGCACCAAAAGTGCATTTTTGACGTTCATCTAAAATTCAGAATCCACAAGTCTCATCTCTGCTCCTAGCATAAAAGCTGAGTTGACAGTAAAGACAACATTTTCAAAAATAATTTTCTTGAAAATGACATGCCCTTTAAATAGTGGCATGTACATGTTGTTCTTTAAAGATACAAAAAGGTTATATAAGCTATTCCAATCAGTGTAGCAGTCCATATGTCTATCTTTAGAAGTGAAAATTTGAGTTAGGTGCTAGGACTTAAATGGCAATAAATAACACAGTGTGTATTTAGTCTGTGTAAAATGTCAAAGTAATCAGCACAGCACCCAGCAACGGGAAATGCAACATTTTACTCACTTTGAAGGTGCCCAATTTTGCAAAATCTGGAATGAGGTAGAACTTGATTCCGTTCAAGGCTCCTGGGAGGGTAACACCCCGCACCAGCAAGATGATCAGCACCAGATAGGGGAACGTAGCCGTCACATACACAACCTGAAGTTTGTAGTCTAAGAGTTTAATAGTGGTTAAATGGTGAAAACCACACACAGTATCCTAACAACTAGAATGACTGTGAATTTTTCAAGGAAAAAATGAACAAATGAAAAGACAATTTTGTCCAGAGGAAAGAATTTTTAAATAACAATAATGGACATACAACACTGTCTGCAATTTTCCACTGTCTGCAAAAAGATGCAACTTAAATACCAGGTGGTTGGTCTTAGACATCTTATTTATTATCTTGGATACTTGTAATTACCGGTATATGTACCACACAAAAGAGACCTTACATCCAGGAACTCATTTGTTCACTCACCCTGCCAGAGGACTTGACACCCTTAAACAGGCACAGAAACACCAAGATCCAGGCCACAATCAGAGACACCAGCAACTGCCAACGAATGTCACCAAGGTCATCGATGCCACTTGTCAGCTCCAAGACATGGTTTCTAGAAGGTAAATGACAGGTGAGACTGAATTCAAAATTATCTTTTAAAAGATATATTGAGAAGTAACCCAGGACCTGTTAATATTACACATGAATTTCTTTATGCTTAGTGGAGTTAAATATTGAAATTACTTGTATTTAATAGGACTTAATACAAGTCAGAGATAGCAACAAAAATTACAATGAAACGAGCGATCTTCAACCTTTTCTCAAAAACAAAGTCACTTACTGCCAGTACTGCTCACTGGGGGTCTGCTTGGGCAGTTCTGAGGCATTAGCAACAACAGAGGTCAGCACTGCAGACACTTCAGTGCCATTCACACTGAAGGTGGTGTTGTAAGTCATGACAGTCTCATTGGCAGCAGTCTGGTTGAGCAAGGTCTCATTTCCATTGTGTGCTCTAAGAGCACAGCGGTCATCGTTCCACTCGTTCCCACAGCTGGCCCAAGGCAGGACCGACCTGAGAGACATCACCAGGTAGTACAATGTCCAGGTGATGATGATGTTGTAGTAGATACACACGATTCCAGAGATGATGACCATGCCCCAGCCAATACCTAGAGTCGAAAAATAAATACCATCATCTAATGATGACCTGTGATGGCAACAGAGAAAAAATAAAGAACTTCTAGATCAGAATCAGAATTTAACACTGACAAAAACTTTCTTACACCCAACTTGTTAAAAAAAGGAAACCTATGAAAAACCTACCAAAAAGAAGAATAACACAATGTGGCCAAGATGAAATAGAGTGGAATATAGAAACATATAAATTCATAGAACCTTAGCTAAAATTATGAGGAATTTGGAAAGTTTTTTTTTTTTTTTTGCTTCATATATAGGAAAAGGGTGCATCACACAAAATAAACACCCCATCCACCATGCTAATAGACCCTTTCAAATATATTAACATTAACTATAGTATGTTTTAACTTGATTGCACCAAAGGACAAAATCATCAACAAATTTCATTTTCGGACAACAAACAGTCTAAATTTACTCAACATCAAGGGTAAATATACAGAAAGCATATCAATTTACAGTGTGCTTATAAATCTTTTACGATTATATATTTTTTACGCATCACTCTTTTTGTACTGCAATCAATCAATCATTTCGTTTGTTTGCTCGATTTGCAAAGAAGTCATTGTAAACCATTGTAACATTATGAGTCAAAATTTAGCCTAATGTCAGCTCCTGCCTGAAGCTCTTAAAAAGGACCTTTACTAAGTGGAGTTGTAAGATCAATGTTTCTTTTATGGTTTGTAATCTCTAAGCAAGTACTTTCAGAGCCTGAAGACGAAAAACCTGACGTCATGGATTTTTCCATCAAGCTGTTCACACACAAGCACTGCATAAACGTATTTCCAATACCTCCAATACAAAGAGGCATGGACGTGTGTAATCAAGAGAAAATAAACCACCGTATTGATTGTGTGATTTGACATTTAATTATGAGAATAAATGTGGCAGACATATTAGTGCCGAGCCGGAAGAAGGGTTATATTAACTAACTGAATGGCAGACAGGAGTAGCATGGAGAAAAGTAACTGACAGATTTCGTTTAATAAATCTCACCTACAAGAAATATCAGGACTTATTTTTTTTAACACAAAGCAAAAAAAATGAGAAATGTAAAACAAAAGTCTCCATATCCCCAAGTGAGTTGTTTATCACATGGATGGAGCATGGTTGGAAGATCAATTTAAAAAATGTGTCTTATGTCGGAAAATCAATATGTGCTGTACCTTATACTAGTATTCGCAGCTTCTTACATCGCAAGTATTTTCTATTTGCCAAAAGTATTGTTTATTCATCACTTTCAGTAAGACCAGTCAAATATGCAAGGATGTTACATGCACCTACAGTGTATAAGCACAGGTATAAGAAAAATCCCCCAGTATTTTCCTCCTTTATAAACTTTTTATATCTTAACATCTCATAAAAAGGGCAAGTAAATCAATATACATGCACAACACAGCACTTCAACCTTCAGCACTTCAGGTATCTGATAGGAAAAAGTGACTGAAAGTTTTGTGGGGGAGAAAAATACAGAGGAGTGGTCTTAAAAGTTTAATCCAACTCGAGTTCTTCACAGCCTGGTCAATCCTTGGTGCCATTTCCAAATACAACTTAATTTTTAAGAGTTCAGCAGGTCCACGTTCCCCATTAAAACCTGCAGAGCAGCAGCAGCTGATGTGAATTCCCTGCAAACTAACATAAACATATCTACTAAATAGAACATACCTTTGAAAAGAGGGCTCAGCTTCCATACTGCAGTGGGACTCAGGCTGGCAAACTGACCGTAGGACACCTCCAGGAAAAACAGGGGCATTCCACACAGCAGCAGGAAAGTGATGTAGGGAATGAGGAATGCTCCTAAAAGAAATTGTGAAAAAAGGAATCATTTACAACATATTCAAATTCTGATTATTTTCTGGCATTTAAAGCGAAATATCTTTTTGAAAACGTTTCTGTTGTTAGTTTCTTACTTTAATACAACATAACAGTAAACTACAAAGAGCTAGGTTGTTGGTTTGAAATATGATTATATTCAGGTATTTTCAGTAAGAATTCTCAGTCAAATTTTCTTTAATAACAACTGCAACTGCATTCATTTTTTTCTGATTTGACAGAAAACATTCACTGAACATAAGATAATTTGGATCCAATAAAAGAATTCAGAGTTGGCAGATCACAAATTCAATTTTTCTAAAGAAATGCTGTTATTCCTTAAAGCTGTGGGGCAATAAAAATACTCAATAGTTTAGGCACAGGTTAAATGTGTTGAGTTTAAAATGCAAAAACAGGTGCAAAACTGATCTACATTTCAGGTGCAACTGCCATGAGTCACACATGATCAGCAGGCTTGTGCAAAATATTACGAAAAAAAAATAGGGGGCCCTTGTACATCCAGTCACTTCAGATTTGTGGCAGGCAGACATAGTCAAAATCTAATCATCGTCTTTGAATTTCTTGTCTTTTGAATGTCGAGCATGTGCTCTTTAAATCTAATAAGCAGGCGGAATGCAGGCTCATCTATATAAAGCTACCAACACTAATTGAAACTCTTAAAAATAGAAAATATCTTGGAAAAATGAGATATCTAACAGAGGTAGAACTGTTTACATGTACTTACATGCAGACTTGAAAATTTAAATGCTAAATGTAAGTGTGCAGCAAACTACACTTAGTACATCATCATTAACATTCCATCTTGTATGTACTGTAAAACATACCAAAATGTATCAACTACTCTACTTTCATCAAGCTGCCTGCCATTTGGAATTCAGAGAAAAACTTTGTGATAAAGGGGTACATTTCCATGGTGCTATTTTCCCTGGAAACTTTTCCCATAAAATTCCTGAGAATATTTTACTTTTTATATTTACATGTAGCAGAATTGCCTTAGCAAAAGTGCAGCAATAATATCATGATCACTTCTCTCTCATTACCATATGATTTCAGAAAATGTTTTATAAGGAGGCAGGTGGGTTACGCTGCAATTTTTAGACAGGTGCCTTATCAATCAGTATTCAAATTACGGGTTCCTTCAAAGTTTATCATCCAGATTCAGATAATGGCATTACCAACACACTTGGTTGCATATCCCCTTTTCCACTTGTCATAAGGGGAGGGGGAGGATTTAACAGGTTGACTTTCTGGCAGGACAAAATGTTTTGTACAAAACTTTTCAGAACACAACCCGACTGGCAATGTAAATAAACATCTACTCTACCATTTACCACAGCTTATTTCTGCAAAAGAGCTTACTCTAAAAAAGGTTCTGACCATGATATGTGAAAAAAAAAACTAAAAAACAAGACAGAACTGCGTCAATCAAATGGAGAATTAGGCCCCACGCAGGTGCCCTCCATGGGAAAGTCCAGTTTCCAGACATATTATATACATTTCCAGGGGCAAGACCGCAACTTGGCATCAGTGTTATGTAATTCCATAAGTATGCTTTAACCCGAAAGGTTTCAAAAACATGTCAAGGTGACCTTTTGGCTTAGAATCGCCAGTCACACCTAGAACCAACATCAGTTCTGCTTTACATTTTTTTGGGTCAGAAGTTTACTTAGTATGCTAAAAGCAAAGAAATTCTAAACCAAAACAAGCTTTCAGCTACAAGAGTTACATAATCCCAGAGGCATGGTGGAACTGAAAACCCTGTAAAACAAGTCTTGCTGTAAGCAGAATGTTGCCAGTAATGAATTTTTTTTTTTTTTTTTGCTTTTTTCACTTTGAATTCCTAATCTGTCTTTTCTACGCCACACCCTATGTTTTTGCAGGAGTTTCCAACAAGTTAAAATTTTCAGTAAATTAGTACGTTTACCATATTTTTCTTTTTCTATTTCTCTCCTTTGATCACCTTCTACATATTAGCAATTGCTGTTTTCCCCTAAAAGAAATATGTTTGAAAAACTTACCTCCCCCATTTCTATAACACAGGTAAGGGAATCTCCAGATGTTTCCCAAACCAACAGCATAGCCCACACAAGAGAGCAGAAAGTCCATGCGTCCAGTCCAGTTTCCACGTTCAGTGTTCTCATCTCCGCTCATACTACTGGAGCTACTGAACGTCCCCACGGAGGAATCGTCATCCTTTCCATGAACCAGGCTGGCACCCTGAGTAATAAAGATTTTTTTAATTAAATTCACTAATTTAAACTATACGCTTTTTGAAATTTTCATTCCTTGAAAATACATCGAGATTGGAATGTTGTAATTTCATTCAATTTGGTTGGTGTTATTGAAACCTCATCCAGGAACTGCACATCAGTCAATGAGAAAAGAGCTGTAAGATACGGACTTTTGAACTAGTCAGTATAGCAAAGAAAATTTTAACCTGACTGTAAAATAGAAACCATACTCTTTTGTTTTTTCGTATCCACTATAAAATGTATTAAGTGCCTTTTCAAAAAGTAAGAATTTATTCATACTATGTCATTTTTAGAAATTTACCAGGCATTTGCAAAAGGTAAGTACATTTTGGAAGCCATTTTCTTTACTCTTTCACCTTTGAAATTTGCCCCTTCCTTCTTTTTAAAAATTTTTATGGGGAGGGGGAAGGGGTTTAAATTCTTTCTTGGATAACATTCATCCATGTATACGCTAATGCCCCTTGAACTACATGAGAACTCAAGTGATAAAATTTGTGTATGAAAGATGAAAAGCAATCAGTGCCATTGTACAACTCTGTGCGGTTCTTATGCAACGTCTGCTAGTATGAGTCGATATGTCAATAGAAATTTGATCAAGCAGCTCATGTCAATAAAAATTGCGATTATTACACGTCCAGAGTGTTTGGAATAATTGCATATGTCAATTTGTAGTTTCTGTTATTGACCAATTTTGCATTCCCATCATACGTACGATTCCTTTAGACTTGTGCAACTATAGTAACCATCAAAATAACACTTCTCCTCTGGTAATGAATTTACACAGGGGGGGTGGAATGGCCTTTAAACTTTACACTGGTAGTATATGTAGATGGAAACTAATATATTTTCCTTTCAAACACAAATCAACCCTAAAAACCAATGTTGTTTCACACATGATTCATTATTATTTATCAATCTTATACTAACATCAAATGTCATCATATCTATTTAGGAAGTAATTTGCCCTTCCTTCCTTCCTTGTAACATTTTATTGATAAAGGTCTGATACAAAAAAGTACCTCCCCTCTCTACTATACTTAGTTACTTAGTGCTTAATCCCAATCAAGCTGATAAGTCAAAAGCCAAATTTTTCTGAGCTATGAAAAACTAACCTTTCTATTTCTTTCATGGCCAAATTTGTCACAAAATTAGTTCAAAATTAGATTTCCCTGCAATTATCCAAGTATTTGGATAAAAGGAATTCTATCCTAAAATGAGCCAAGCCAATGGCCAGGTATGTTCAAGGTTTAAGTTACCGTCAGGTATACAGGAGCTAATAGAGATGTTAACTATCATGCAAGGGTATCATGTTTGGGCTATTAAGGACAACAACAACAATGAATGGGCACACTTAAACCATTAAGATGCCTTTCTTATTCAAAGGAGCAGTGTGGAAAAAGTCCAGCGAGCAGCACTTTTCTGTAAAGGATACAATAATAAGGAGTGCTCTATTACTCATGACAACATCCTTATCTGTAGGAGGTATTTATGCTGTGTTTGGGGGCGTGAGGTAGAACAAATATGGACAGGTCAACTACAAGTGGACATCAGGAAAGGTGCTCCCTAATACTTTGACAACTGCCCATTAATTTGTCAATGCAAAAAAAAAAAAATATATATATATATATATATATTTATGTAAGTAATAAAAGGGCCAAATAAAATGAAAATAAATATTTTATGAAGTACTTAAACTCTAAATATGTCCATAAACTGCCAAAATTATTCTCATAAAGATTCTTGTCTGAGAACTTACTGTTTTTAAAGAGACAAAAATGAATATATTTAAAACAGAAAGGAAAAATTACAAATTTGGAATTTTTCATATAGAACATAGACTATGTGTTATCAACATTTTATTTTTTTAGGCAGAGAGATTTGGGCTCATCTACCAACATAACTCCCATTATGTCTTTAATTTCTTTTGCAAAATTAATCAGCTGCCTTCCATAATTAATATAGACTCTAACATGAAACCCGTGAACATCTGGCGCCGTGATTTTGACGTGTGGATATCGATGTGGGCGATTTGTGTGCCAGAGATAGACCTCAACGGTATCTTTAATCATTGAACGCATTCATACCAGAGTGTACTATAATAGTAGGTGAAGTTATTCAGACGAAAATAACTTGAAATCTGATCTTGTTTGCTAAGTTGCTTATCTTGTTCCGCTTTGCCTTACCTCGTTTTTATTTTCATTCTCACATTTCTGCCCTTTCTCACGCCCTTCTCAGAATATGGAAAATGATAGTGAAGAGTTTTTTTTATTTGATAAAAAAACTTAGATAATTTATATACGCTAAGAAAAGAACTATTTCATAAACTTAGCAAACATAATACAACGCAACAGTCACCACGCCCCAATAGCCACTTTATTAATTTGGCACCAGTGCCAGCATTAAAGTGTAAATTGACTTTCATCAATGTTCGCACAGTATAGAAGTATCAGGCGGAAAATTAATATTTAACGCGACAACTACGGTAAACAATAGGTATCCATTCATACGATCATCAATTACATAAAAGGCATGCCGCTCTGTAAATGAAAGGGAACGACTCCAAATAGTTAACCTAGTTTCTTAATTTTTCAACCAATCATTCACGTGGAACGCTGTATTTTTCCGTGACGTCATGATACGTCATGGGTCAAGCCATGTGGCTCATTCACAAAAATACTCACTCACCCCTGTCGAATTCCAAGTAAGACATAGTTAACTATGAAATAAAATGCTATCTCAAAGCTATCTTACAAAAGCCTTAACCTGAAAAACCTAACATCTTTGTATTTTGCCGACTGTCGTCTTGGAAATTTTCCATTACCAAGAGAAAGAGTGTAACATTATGCGGCGTGTACNTCCAAATAGTTAACCTAGTTTCTTAATTTTTCAACCAATCATTCACGTGGAACGCTGTATTTTTCCGTGACGTCATGATACGTCATGGGTCAAGCCATGTGGCTCATTCACAAAAATACTCACTCACCCCTGTCGAATTCCAAGTAAGACATAGTTAACTATGAAATAAAATGCTATCTCAAAGCTATCTTACAAAAGCCTTAACCTGAAAAACCTAACATCTTTGTATTTTGCCGACTGTCGTCTTGGAAATTTTCCATTACCAAGAGAAAGAGTGTAACATTATGCGGCGTGTACTGCAGTCCTCAGAATTCCACGTTTTCTCATTACTTTGCAATTTATTTTTATTAATAATCAATTCTACTCACACTATTCATCAGAGTTACGCCCGATTTTTCATCATCCAACTGAGACAAGTGAGTTTTCTTCTTATCAGGCATTTTGGTTTAGTTTCCCAGTCAACAATCTTCAATACTTGTTTACGAGAAATTTTCTTGATTCTGTTTCGATGGCGGGCTTCTCTCATGCATTTTATATACACGGCTTTTCAATTGGTCACACTTTCAAAGGAGGGGAGCAGGTTGTGTAGTTTTGTTTAAAAAATAGATTTTTTGTTTGGTTTTTTTTTCTGCTGATACAGGCACTATACATAAAATTTGCAAAATATAAAAGATTATCAAGTATGTTCCCAATAAATAGTTAAGACCCGATTTATTATTTAACCAAAAGAATAATGCACCTCATATGGAAGAGTCCATTATGACGAACACGGTGATTGGTTCGAAATGTCACGCACGTAAAGTCATAATTAACATAAATGTTATTGATTTATATCCCACTCCCTTCTTTGCACATAATATTATTGATAGATCAAACAAAATCATAAAGGAGTTGCTATATGTATCTGTAAAATTTGTACTACAGTACCAGCCACTCACGAACTGCTCAATGAAGCGCAATGTAACGCTATCATTCAATTCATATAAATTGCTTTTCAACAATATTATTTTTTCTGTTCAAGTGTTCTGACAAGTTCGGATTTTGGAATAAGAGCTTAATAGTTGTCGTTAAAGAAGTTCGCATTACACACAATCATACAATCATACAAGGCTTCAGTGCCGTTGATTTATACTTCGTTGGCGGCAAAATGGGAACCCTGGCCCAGCTGCCAGCGGCATCATCATGTCACAATCATTCCTACCTGGATAGGCGTCCTTGCAAACAACATGTTTCTCGTATACTGATGCTCTTTGGGCTTCAGCGCCACATACTGGTATCACCCCCCCCCCCCCCCACACACACACACACACACACCACCACCACCACCACAACAACAAACACACATAATATACATCTGGTACATGCCAGCCCGAAATACACAATTAACGGCCATGTAGGCCTCCATAACATGAGTATCTGCTGCAGTCGTTACTAAAACACCTGAAGGGCACAGGTCTGCGTTAAATGAAAAGCCATTGGTTTTGGTGCAAGCATATTTTGCTATTTATAAGTGTAACGTTTGAACTATCCTTCTAGTTCGTGTCGACCCAGCCAGTAGGTTATGTCAATATGAATGTGCACGTGAGATCTAAATTGTTATGTATCCGGGTTTTCGCGCCAAATCTCATTTAAAAATCTAAAAAGGAAAAAATCCTTCTTACTTATTATATTCTAGTAGACACCAGATGCTTTTATTTGAGAGATTTTAACATGTCAAATCGGTGAATCGGGAAAGATAATTACTATTTATTATCTTTGCGGGATATATAGATAGGGCCTATATAAAAATATGACTTATTGACATTTTCAAGCGCGTTAAGTATACTTTTAAAGGAATGAGTTATACAAACAAACACGTGCAAAATAATACAGGCCACATCCCGCGATGATTCAAGACATTTACAAGCTACTCGCAGGCTCTTACTCTGTGTGCACAACATGATTACATTTCATCTGCACGGTCTGTAGAGATAAGCGTTCAGCATCAACATTACGTAAAGCAGCGAATAACTTCTACATGCTGAAACGCCCTCTTTTGACACGTATAAAGGGTATTCTCTCCAGCTGGGGGTGAATATTTCACTTTGCACACTCCTTCAAGCCTACAGAAATAGAGGTTTTGTGTCCCTTCTTCAAAAGCAATTTTACCAGCATTAAAATTGATGCTCTGGGAGTTTTTTTTTATTATTNTTTCAAGCGCGTTAAGTATACTTTTAAAGGAATGAGTTATACAAACAAACACGTGCAAAATAATACAGGCCACATCCCGCGATGATTCAAGACATTTACAAGCTACTCGCAGGCTCTTACTCTGTGTGCACAACATGATTACATTTCATCTGCACGGTCTGTAGAGATAAGCGTTCAGCATCAACATTACGTAAAGCAGCGAATAACTTCTACATGCTGAAACGCCCTCTTTTGACACGTATAAAGGGTATTCTCTCCAGCTGGGGGTGAATATTTCACTTTGCACACTCCTTCAAGCCTACAGAAATAGAGGTTTTGTGTCCCTTCTTCAAAAGCAATTTTACCAGCATTAAAATTGATGCTCTGGGAGTTTTTTTTTTATTATTACCGTGAAGACTTATATTAAAACAAGGCTGAAAGGTTCGGTTAACCATAAATATATGTTAAACCCCCTTACATAAAACTAGAAATCGAAGGAGCTCATATATCGTTACTACTCATATTCAAGTAGTTGAAATTACAGTGGTTATTCAGCTAAAAAAAGAGCTAAAACGAGCTAAAACTAAGTTTTTCTGGCTGCAACCAGTCTGTGCTGGTCTTGGCTATACAAAGAAAAATCGATCGAATATGACGCATGGCTTAGCAACGCTGGTTATAATCGATACTCAGTAATACAAAGGGCGAATTTAATCGCGACCAGTATGTTACATGTATTATCGCCTTACATAGGGCCAAACTATATTCAAATTATAATTATTGTTATTATTATAATCATGCTTCCCTTCTTTTTCTAATATTACTTTTGTGTTTGTCCACAACACTGGCTAAAAAAAAGATGTGCTATATTATATTATATTATATTATATTATATTATATTATATTATATTATATTATATTATATTATATGTATAATGTACAATACAGGCACAGGTCTAGCACGAAGAGGACGGGTAATGATTTCCTCAGTACATGTATTGTGACTAATGTATGTCTTTAACTATTTGTGTGTTAGTGCAAAAATATTCCAATACTTTGTGGATGAAGACGGAGTCCCCCTGAATGTCAGGATCTTTTTGACATTTAAGCTTTTCCAAAGCCCAATGTTTTTTTCGTCTTCATTTTATCTTAAATTTCTGATTTACTATTAATTTTTGTTTTATTTTTAAGTTAAAAAATTTGCACAATATTACATGACTCTTTTATCTGTTTGGCTTAATTATTAAGGGGAGAAAAAATAGCTACACTTTCCCCGTTGCGATCGATATATCGATTTTAAAGATTATTTTAGACCGTTGTACAAAATAATAATGAAATGGAATTAAAATAAGGAGAGAAAGAGAGCTTTCTTTTGTCTGTTTTCCAATACTTTCTTTCAAGATTTGTCAGCAAATGTGTACTTTGTCAGCCAGAGCCCCCCTCCCCCTCCCGCCTCCCCGTGTACTTGGACATCAATCCTGGCCCATCAATCCACGGGCTTTTCTCCGGTCTTCCTAAAATTCAGTCACAAGAAAAGTTATTCAACACCATGCCGTCTGCTCTCTAGTTTGCGACATAAAAAGTGCGATGCTTAATTGATAAACAACTAACCGCAACTATTTAGACTAGAAAGACACTCCACATTTCATAGGAATGAATGCCAAGCTACAGATAAAAGGATGTTATAATTTCATCATGACCTTCAAGCGCTTTCTTTGTGAAAATGGATGGAAAAGTACCTGGTCTAATCGTGACAGAACATTACTGAGATGGGTACAGTTATTCTTAAAGACCAATCGGACAATAGTTGCAGAACGGGTTTTAAAGAAAGAAAAGAGAAAAATATAAATGTTTTTTATTGCCATGCACGCTTTGAAAATAACTGTTCTACTATAATCTTGAATCAAAAACCAATTATTCAAAATTAGGGAATAAAAAAGTACATAAGTGAAAAAAACTACGTAAGACCTCTTTCTTCACAAAGGTAAAATCACAAATAACCCTCAGTTGTAAGGAATTTTTTGCCACGTGTCTACAAAGACAAAATAGATGTAACCAGACGGTTTGGTTTACATTCCAAGAAAACGGCATTCAAACAGATGCCAAAAAGTGCGAACATTTGAGACAATATCGTCAATAATAGAACTTGGCGATGACAGATTGCGCTGCATCACAGAGAGTCCAGTAGCTGTATTTTTCCATGAGGCGAAGCACACAACAGTGGTCATACGATCATTTGATCCGATGGAATGTGACAAAAAGAGCCGAAGAAAGATTTGAAAGGTCGTCTAGGTCTGGTAAATGTCTGCGTCTCTTTCTAGCCAAGGCCTTTGGGAAAATTGGATAAGTGAACAGAGCCAATGGGTACAGTCTTTTGTAAAGACATTTTAGGAGAAAAAAATTAGAGCCCGTCGGAAAACATCTCCGCTGAGATCAAAATGTATGCAAATTCATTTATGCAATTGCTATCTTTCAACACGTGCTTTTATTACAGTAGCTTTTGTTAAGTTCGTTTGGGTGTCAGTTTGAATTAATTGAAGTCATTTTGCATTCTTCAAAGTCTCTCTCTCTGAAAAAACATTAAATCAAAAGTCGGGGTAATATGAGGGCTCACGTTTTCTAATTAAAGTAACTCTCAAGTAACAACCCAACCATTGTTTGAGGGGCCTTGTTTGAGACCCTAAACACTTCACGAAAAATACTTACCTAGACAAAAATAGGCTCTTACCTCTATTTAAAGTACTTTGTCAACTGTATATCATAGCAAAAAAAAACTTGTAGTGTCAACTAAATCAGACATTCAATCTAATTGCGGTTACATCAAGAGCACTCCCTTTGATGTGAGGTCATCTGCGAGATTCACAGTCAGAAGAAGTTACTCTGCATGGCAACGGTTTTTGACTGCGTGTTATGGCAAGTTCACACACGGGATTTTTTATCAAGCGCAAACTGGCAAATTATATTTAACGCAGCGCAGCGTAGTTGTGTTAATTTGCTAATTTATTTCTTTTGTGCAAAGAATGTTCATGTAAAATTATCTGAAAAATGTTTGACAAAAATTATAAATTGATGCATTGCATATCATCCTCTTTTCTGGAAAAAAAAATCAAAGAAAGGTGTCTCAACTATATCCCAAGCGAAGAAAAAAACAATGAAAAAAAAAAAAAACAAAGAAAGCAAGGATGTGTCTACTTTGTTTTGAAAATAACTAAATCATATCCCCCAAATTTTGTTACAAAAAAGGGTAAATTCATAGTGCTGCGCAGTGTAACTGTCATAATCACGTAGCATTATGCTTAAAAAAACTTTGTTAACATTTTCACCCCCTTCTGACCAAAAAAGTTCAAGAAAAATTGAAAAATAACAACACTTCAGTAAAAAGGCATATACAGTAGTTTTGGTGAGAAGAAGATTTACAATTAATTGCGTCAGAATAATCAAGATCAGATCAACATACAGTAAGTCTATGGACACGTTCATTTTAAAACCACCTTTTATCACAACACTTTTTTTTTCCTTTTTTAAAATATATTTAATAATTATATCTACTTTTGAAAGATCAGGCTCACCTGCTGTTACAATGGAATAAAGCCCATTTATACATTCAAGTTATATCATCTATATGATTGTTCACGGTCCCAAGGGTTTGCATTTACTAACGTGGCTGTTTTACTAATATTTTTGTTCCAAAGTAAGTGATTACTATCTCAAAAACGTTAGTAAATTCCAATTATAGATATTTCCATGTTTTCACTACATATAAAGCCAAATTCTTGTGAGTGAATAGTTAATTATATCCACTACCACATTACATGTAAAACATAGAACTTCAATCCTGCTCTCGACCTCTTCCTCCTCTGTTTAATTCGATCTATGATAGATCTGTAGCGGTCTGCCTAAATGAAGAAATCAGCCCTGACGTTGTCTTATTTAGAGGACTGCTCATTTAGAGGGCCACTATTTTCGGTTTTTAGCTTTTCGATTATTGTGTGTGTGTGTGTGTGTGTGTGTGTGTGTGTGTGTGTGTGTGTGTGAAACTGCAGTACGCAGCCGTTGCCTTAAAAGACCGAGGTGTAGCAGAAAACAGGTTATTATGCTTAAATCTGTTCAAATCACCGGGTGACCGCCTTGAAGAAAGGCTGTGAATTTTTACAAAAGCTATGTATGGCTTTTAAATCACGGTGACGCTCATTATAACCGAGAGGTCCATTTACACTTTGTGAGCCGTATGAAGTTGATCGCCATTCCATTCTTATAAATGTATTTCAGCACCCCATGCTTTAATTTTTATCTGTCGGCTTCACTTTTTCTAATTAGAGGCCTAAAACCGGTCCGCTGGCAGAAAGAATTGCTTGGGGCACTTGTTAAAGGTCTACAAAACATGCAATACAAGCTGTTTGTAATAATCTAGACGCTGACTTGAGGAGAAGTGAGAGATTCCTAATGGACTAGGAAAAGAAAGAGCAAACTCTGAGAAGGGAAGGGGGGGGGGAACAGCCTCCCCTCCCAGGAAATGTGTAAACTTAAAAAGCAATGTGCATTTAGCAAATCGTCTTTTTTTTTAGATCGCCCCTCCTTCTAAATACAAATTATTTTTGGGAGTGTTTTCATTTTTTATCAACTCTTTTAGAAACTAAATTAGAAAAGGTTTACATTTCGTGTCAAACTTCCTTTTAGTATCCAATCAACAAATACGATAGAGTCTTGGGCCGCCGAGTGGCTCCCAAGTCCTGTATCTGTCGTGTGATTGTGTTTGTAGTGATTGTGGTGTGACGTATCTTTACTAACACAATAGACCTACGTTGGCTCCGATCATCTCAGTTCGAAGCAGACATGACTGACGTGACTAACGTGACTCGTATTTTTAAAAGTAAAGTTGACAACTCACACCTACTGGTGGGAAATATTTCATGACGACGGACTAGGCCTATACTTCTACGCTGTCTTGCTTACGCGACATTTTCAAAATAAATTCAAACTAGCTCCTTTTATATTTTGGACCTTTTGAAAGCATATCCAACGAATTAAAAAAAAAAAAAAAAAAAAACAACAACAAGCGCAGACTCATATTTTCTTTTCTTCTTTGATTATTCAAAGACGATTCTTGTCGTTTTTTTTTTTTTGTCTCCGGTGTTTTAACTTGACATAAAGCTGATCAAAGCTGAATTTCAATCACAGGACTTGTTTTATTTTGACATTCAAACTCTTTTCATCCTTGAGGGTTTCAAAAATTATACTTGAGAATGATAAAACTTTCAAAAACAAAAAATAAAATGATACACAAAACAAATGATTATTTAGTAGAAAAAAAACCCAGTCTATACCCAGATAGCAAGACGACGTTGGCCCGACGTCGCTCGCCCAGCCATGCCAACGTCGCTGGCCCAACGTCCTCGATCTTATCTGGGTAATAATATACCCGCTCCATTGCAATGCATTGTTAGGGCCTATAGATGCCTCCTTCGGTCTTCGATTTCTGAAAAAAAAAAAAAAAAAAAAAAAAAAAAAACACACCAATGGTTCCCTCTTGAAATTAGAATTTTGATTAGCATAATCATAGATCTAAACCGTACCCCCCCCCCCCAAATAATCCTGGACCCGCCCCTGAGTACGTTACTAGTACGGTTGTAGGCCTATCAGTAATTTTTATTTATTACTTTTCAAACTGAAATCAGTCGTCATTTTCATTCCTTTATATTAGGTAAATATATATTATTTTCTGATTGGCCTTTACCCTCAGTCGTGTCTTTGCCCAGTAACTATAATCAGTGATAAATTGGGACGGTGTCCTCAGGCGACCTCTGTCCTAACCTTGTTTTTAGGGATTGTGAAGGAATAAGGTCAAAACCTCGAACTGAACTAAGTCAGTGTAAACATTGACGAGATCTTTTTCCGGCTTAACAAGCGTTCAGACGTTGCACGGTTTTGCTGCATTTGGAAGGTGAGTTTTAGTTGGCATTGCTTGACTGTAGAATCAGAAAAGGTAGTGTTAAATGGAGGTGCAGAAATATAGTTTGAACACTGAGTATCTGACTTTGCAGTCGTTTTGACTGTGGTGCAATGTTTGGTTATTTGCTCTCGATCCACATTCATAGGCATGTTACTTGCATATGTTGATCTCGCGTCATTCTTTTTAAAGATTGCATCAACTGAACCTACCAATCATATATAGTAAGTGCAATTCTAAAATCTTCTTGCAGACTAAGAAAAGGTGTCACTTTGACAACACGATTTGAAATTGAATTTGTGAATGTGGAATTTGTGAATGTGCAATGTTTATAGTGTGCATGAATTCTTTACGAGGTGTTGGTCAAAGACAGATTTGATGATATTCATGGAAAGATAAGCACATAATCTACTGATAAAGTAATAGACGTATCAAGAATTGACCATTATATTACTTAATCCTACACATACTTCATAATATTGCCTTTAGCATATTATGTACTGGATACAAATTGACCTGTAAGTACAGTGCATATACTCAGTAGCTTTTAAAAAATTGTGACATTCTAAGTGTTGTTTATTATTTTTATTTTTCAGCAATATTACATTTTTCTCTGAAGTAAATTTAACTACATCCACCATGCCTGGAGGTTTCTACTGGAGTCGCAACATGATGGGCCAGAAGTTGACAGATGAGCAGATGCGGGAAATACCTCATGCAAATGTGGAACTTTTTGGCCATGTCACCATTAAAACAGTCCAGGCAGGTGCTTTTCTTGGCACTCTTCTCACAGGACCTCTCACACAGGCCATCCGTGGTCCACGTACCCTGAACGCTATCATGGAGACTGCTGCTCGCCATGGTAGAAATGGAGCGATAATTGGACTCGTCCTGGGCCCTGCTATGACCTTCATGAAATGCAACAGCATGAATTGGGACGAGGAAGGAATATATGACAGATGTTACCGCCTTCGTTACAACCGCAACCAAGTGCGTGTGGATCGCGCAAGTGCCCTGGGTGCGACTGCAGGGTACCTTGTTGCATTACAGATAGGTGTGTCGGGGGCAACTGGGTTTGTGTTTGGGATGACAGGGGGCGTGGTCTTATCTGCAGTCTACAATTCCATGTTTTGTGAAAAACATGTCTAACTTCCTTTTAATGGAGATCATCCAGACTTTCGGCACTTTGTGACGAGACTTGAGAATCCACATGAGAAAGGGCTTACTTTTTAATTAGCAATAAGAGTGAAACTATGTCATTGTGCACTAGGAATGTCTTCTTAATTAGACATTAGTACAAAAGATAAATTTGTGCTGATGTGCAATAGACTGTAATTTCACACAACTTTGGAAAAACATCCATGGATAAAATCTGTTGGCTTAAATTCATTGTCACTCTGCATTTACTTGTCTGCCATTAATTATTTCTGATATTGCTTCCCATTCCTGCCAAATCTCGTTGGATTTTATGCTAAGGTGTAAGACTTTGAGCCATCTCCCATGGTCCTCATTGTTATGTTCTTTATGTATGCTGAAGCTTTATTAACAAAACATTGCAGATGCTATAGACATTATGTTACCCATTAGTTACTGGTACTATGTGGATAATATACAGTGTATGTTGTTTTCCTGTTGTGATGCCAGAGAAAAAAGGCTGAATGAAGATATCAATACGACATTTTTAGTTTTTAGGTATACATAAATGCTTCGCAAAATTTGCTGGAAAATGCATAGTCTGAATAGTATTTTATTGCAATATTTAATTAAAACTTTTTACTTGCAATATCAAAAACCAGCAGTCATCCCTTTGTTCTCCCCTAGGACCCCTGGATCCTAAAGGGTTCTTCCCGCCCTTACCACTGGTGACCTAAATCTTACTGTACACATACCTAAGTTGCCATAATGTATACAAGGTAGTAAAGGGTAGGTCAAATCCCATGAGATGTAAGCATAAAAATATAGGTGAGATGCAGGCCATTAGTGGACTACAATGTTTACCATCAAGCTCTGCAAATGGGTGATATGTATTAGAGGATTAACTTTGAGATGCAGAGTCAGATATGGGTCACTTCTTTATCTTGGAATATTTTAAGCAATACAGGGTAAATGCTTGTTCTTCATTAAAAAATGATTTGAGTGTACTTTGTCTAATTTTATTCACAGAGTCAATATTATCTTTATTGTTAGTTGTTAAATCAAACTTCAATTCTTGTAGATGGGGAACAACTTAATGAAACCGTCTGTGAAAATATAGAGCTTGGCAAACTATTTTTTATATACAAGGATTGTAGTGCATAATATGACATATTTCAAAAGCTTTGTGTTCTGGTAACCCTTTGCTATAGAATTGAAGTTGCTTATTATGTACAAGATGGAGTAAGTAGGACAAATATTCCTTTCGTGTGTGACTGACGGAATATAACAGTATTGAATTTCAGACATGAACTTTTCACTTGCAAAGGTATCAATTGACATATTGGATGGAAATATTTACACGGAATATACTTATTTTTGCAGTTAGATGTGTAGGTTTTCTTTTTCATTTTTCTTTTCATGCTTTCTGAAAGTGTGTCACTGTCACTGTCTACTACATGTATAGTATACCAATACTATAGGATGGAAAATTAAAGATTCCAGGGGTATTGTGATTTTGAGATAACTTTATAAAATTTGTGATAACTGGCTTTAGCTTTTTGATTTAATATTTTGTAGTATGTTTTAAAATTGTTAAAATGTATTAATCAATATTAGTTTATTAGACTCTAATGGTAAACTGTTACATTTTCATCCCTCGATTTACATTATATTTGTAATAAAGGAACCCATGCTACAATGTTCATGACTCTGGTTTTTCTTGTAAAGATTTTTTTTTTTGAATTTGTATAGGATATGTTGCTCTAGCTACTTATAAAAGCATGAGTTTTCAAACGATACCGTAATGGTTGGCTGTTTGATCTAGAGCATTGCATTGCTATACTAGTACTTGAGCACAGCTGCTTATACACAGACAGGCAACATGTTAAGACTATATTGTCAGTTTGTTATACTTGAGACCCCAAGTTTAACAGTGTTCTCGCAGTCTAACACCCAAAGTTTAACAGTGACCTATGACATGACCTAGGTGTGCTAGTTCTAATATTTAATGATAACTGCAACACTGGCATGTTCAAAATATTGAATAAATTAAGGGAGCCCAGGGGGGTCATACCCAGTATATCCCTACCCTGATAACTTACAAAAAGTAGGTTATCTGCTGAATATTTTTTATGATTTTATTGGGTTTGAGGACTTTATGGAAGTTGAAGTGTTTTTTTTTGTTTTTTTTTNTAAATTCCACACTACATTTTTCTCGCCCCCCCCCCCCCCCCCTTTGTAAGCGGAAGTCTTGCTAAATCTAACGCATGCGCATTTTCAGTATCCGGCAGCATGTGTAAAGCGAGAAAAACTAATGTTGAATGAGTTATATAGTAACAGATAAACAACTTGTAATTTGACACCTAGATAATCTGCTATGACAGAGAGAAACAACAACAAACTTCCGAGTAACTTACCTCAGTTACAGAATTTGATAAAACGAGATCCAGATTCGTATAAGGATGAGGTATGTATGGGGGGATATGTGGCAATATCATACTACTGTTCATTCATATGTGTAGTAGAAGTTTGAAGTAATACTAATAGTAGTGCTGAGGCTTTTGTCCTTATGTTACAAGAAGAAATACTTGTTTGAAACTGACATAGAATTACTTATTTCATTTTTATAAAAAGAAAATCAGAAAACATAAAAAATATAAACAGAAAAACATACTTGTTATCAAACCACTGTACTCATTACTGAAATTGACTTTGTAAAAGTTTTTTTGAAAGAGCTGATAGACTCTTGAATAACTTGATGTAGTGTGTTGAACACCACAGTAGTTGTACTTGCTCAGGTTGAGGTCACAGTTTTTAAGCCATATCTTTCAGACTCTTGGATAGGTATGAATTCTACACCAAAGCAGAAGTGCTAGAGTAGAGGCTAATTATTTGATCTTCTAGTGTCCTCTTTGTGCTCACGCAAATAAAACTTTTAGTAGTGAAATTTGATGTCAACTGATAATCATCTGGTAAAGAATTAAGCAAAAATGTTTCATTTCTATTCACTTGTTTTCCAGTTTCTTCAGCAGTATCGCCATTTTCTGTCCAATATGGAGATATTTGCTCTTAAACCATCATCATATTCACAGACACTTGCAGAGCTAGTCATGTTTGTAGCACAGGTATAGTGAAGATGAGATATGTGTTATTTTAAGTTTTATATATATATATATATATATATATATATATATATATATATATATATATATATATATATATATATATATATATATATATATATATACACACACACACACATACATACATACATACATACATACATACATACATACATACATACATATTTATTTATTTATTTATTTATTTATTTATTTATTTATATGTAATATTTTGTTTGGCTAAGTATCAATTAAATAATTGTAAGATAGAAATTTTAATGAGTAATCACTGTTGGGCTATGGACAATCCCCCGAGTACATACAGACCCTTGTTTACTTCTTGTAGGGACCTCATAGAGGTTCCATCTGTCCCAAACTGAAGTCCTGTTTCCTTCAGCAAATAATACCCTGCTGAACAAGACTTCACTTTGTAAAGGATGCTCAGAAATCCCTTAGTTATATTATGTTTCCCCAATGGAATTATGCAGTACCAGAATTTGTATCATAATAATCTTTTGTTGAAGGTGGCCCACTGTTACCCAGATGAACTGGCAAACTTTCCCCAGCAGCTGAGGGAACAGCTTCACAGGAATGCCACTGTACTTGACCCTGCACTCAGAATGGTGAGAGACTGGTTTTCTGGAGATATGTGCTAAGTCTTTGTCTCAGTTTTTTCAGCCCATTTCTCAATTCGACTTATAAACATTAGATAACTACTAGTCAGAACCAAAATTTACTAGTACCAAGATGGAGTCTGCAGATAATGGAAAATTTTTCATAATCTAAAACTGCATCTGAATTTCCCACAACAGTACAACACCAAATCTACTGGTCTGCTGTCACTGACCAGTGGCTAACATCATATCACTCAATCTAAGCTGAAAACATTCAACAGCTTGAATTCAGATATTCACCGTCACAAGTACAACCATATCTTTTCCCTGCTTGCTGAAAAATATTAAATGTCTTGCCCTCTTTAATATTACAGACTTTTTGCAAGGCCCTAATTGCTCTTAGGAACAAAGGCTTGCTGCCTCCTATCACTGTCCTGGAGCTGTTCTTTGAACTGTTCAGATGTCAGGACAAGCTGCTGAGGAAGACCCTGTATAACTACATAGTACAGGATATCAAGATGGTCAATGCCAAACACAAGAATTCAAAAGTCAACACAGTAAGTAACTGGTTAGGACTTGTATACTAAGCAAAACATGTTTCCGATCAGTTTTGAATTTTAAGGTTCATTTTTAACCACAAATGAAAATATTTATATTGGGTAATTTCTAGGTCATTGTAGTACTGTAGGAAAAAGAATGATATTTTTCATAACCCCCATTTGTGCTGTCTAAACATAAGAGACTTACATTTCTCAGGAATGACACTTATAATATGCATTTAGAACATCATTATGAACATAATAATTAGTCTTTGAACATATTTAAATGAAATGTGAGTGTGGGTGTATGTACTGCACTATGTGAATGGAGTCCTTATATGTGGAATATGTAACATTTCAGTCCTGTCTTACATTAGATGACAAGTATTGGTTCAGTCAGAATTTTTATTTGTATCTCTTGGACAATGTTGACTGTTTAAACTATTGATTTATTTCAGACTTTGCAGAATTTCATGTATACCATGTTGAGGGATAGTAATGCCATTGCAGCCAAAATGTCACTGGTAAGTCACCTATGGTCATATCATGCATCACATTTATTTGTTTCTAATCACTTATACTGATCCTAACATATAATTATGCAAATTTTTGCTCCCTTTCACAAGTTTGCTTTTAACTGTATAGAGCAATCAAAATAAGTCAGTAATTGGCCAAGCGTGGGGGTTCCATTACGTTTATTCTCTTACCTTAATTATAGCCAGTTATGAAATTGTCAGTCTCTCAAAGCATAAATTTCTAATTAGTGAAATGCACAGTGTGAGAAAGGGTAATTTTTTTTNAAAGAAACATGGGACTAAAATACAGCCTCAGTAGGCAATGCAATCTGCCAGTTAAACAGTTTTTTTTTTTGTGAAAATTTAATTTTTCACACATTGGCATTTTTAAGGTGTGACTTTGAAGTTCCACAGGCTTGAAGACCCAGGCTAGTCACATTTTCTGAAAATCCATGATACATATATTTTGTTATTAAAAATTGATTGTCATTATGCTGTTAACCATTATGTAATATTGCATCAGAATAGAAGAAAAGACAATTCTGGGTGCTGCTGCCATGATGACCATTATGGGAAAACCATGTTACTTATGATTGCCAAACTTTAAAAAAAGAAATACAGGACTAAAATGTAGCCTGAGTTGGAAAAGCAGTCTAATTGACTTCTTTTTCTGGAAGTTTTACATTTTCAAAGTGTGAACTTGAACTCCCATGGGCCTGAAGCCTTATGCTTGTTTCACATTTTACTTACATTGGTATTACCTGTTGAGCATAATTAAAATTTGATGTTGAATTTGCAGTTTAACATAATGTACTTTTGCATCAGAATTGACAGTAGCCTATTTTTTTATTTCCTGCTTTTTGTCTGTACATTTGACAGCTTTGCTGCCTTGTTTTAAATTGCCATATATGGACTTTTTAAGTTGAAGCTGAAGAATACTTGAGCTAGGGCTCTTTTTAAATTTCGGTGGACAAAAATTTTAGAGGAAATATATCTTAGATTCTGTTACTTTGGATGGGCACTGGCAATTTATTTACCAGTTTACATGATACTTTTTACATTTTTAAAATATCATATTAGTCTTTTTAATACGGATAAAAAATCAGTTTAATAATGAATTTCGTTTTAGTGCAATATCATCATATAGTAGATCAGGATAATTCATAGTATTTATGAGAACAGTTTTTTTTTTTTTTTTTTTTTTTTGTATCGTCCATGCCAATTTTTTGTGACTATTTATAGGCAAAACTACAAAATTCTTTCGAATGGTTTTTTGTTGTCTCAGATGAACAATTATAGAAAATACAAAGTTATAATACAGCAATATATGCAAAGCAGTGCAAAATAAGTTGTGAACATTACAATCTTTATCATATAAATGTAGCAAAACAAGATAAGTTTCTATTCAAAAAGCAAAAATAACACAAACGCAAAATATATCCTGGTGTTATGAAACTTCTTTGCAGTTTTATATCAAACATTACAGCTCATAACATTTAAGTTTTTATACATTCAACATCCTTGTCACGTGTTTCCTTATTTGGTCTCTTTTCACTTCAAATCTTAATTGATCTTACTGATTTATAGAATCATGCAGAGCACTCAACTTTGCACACTTATTTAACATTGATAATGTATAAAAAAATAACCGTCAATTTGTTGTGCTGGAAGCCAATCTCCTTTCCTGAATAGTCTGTGACCCTCTTTATTGACATTTCCTCTCATCTTCGTGCTCACAAATGCTAGGTCATTCTTGCCTTTTTCTAGTCCTCTTCTAAACTCCTTCGGTAAAAACTCCTTTACTTTATGATATCTGGATATCGCTTGAAATGTGTTAGATGCGTGTTTTAACCAGAAAAAAAAATTAGACTTGGTAACATGAAAATAAAAAGTCTAACAGCGTTTTAGACCGTGTGTTGATTCGAAAGGGATAGCTAGCTGAAGGTGAGTCCGTGCATAATATGAAAAATTAGAAATAGGGTCATGTTCTATCTGTTACAACGGACAAGTTGTAGAGCACCAGTTAGTTTTTATTTAAATTTTAAACAGATTAATGCGTTATCTTTTAGTCCTGATCACACTTACATGTATACCCCAAAGAGCCGTAAAGATGACGATATTGGCAAAAAAGAAGGGGGGGGGGGGTTCAAAGCACGTGATTCGTAGCCCTGAGAAAAACGTTTGGTTTGTTACCATGGAAACAAAGAGAGTCAAAATATTGTATATCATTTAAATCCCCTATCTTTTGCTAGGTTATAATAAATCATCAAACTAAATCATTTGGTGAGACTTGTATAAACTGTAAGGCCAATCAAAATTACCTTGTTTTCAGATGAATTTTTGCTTGATTAATCCCCCTCCCCTCCCAAATGTCACTAGTCTATCTCTGGAAGTAGGGATCTGTTTGAGGAAATATTGCAGCCTCAGATATTGCCGAATTATCTGCATTTGGGCTGGTTTTCTCATAGACACACACTTATAATAGTAAAGAAAGATCACCACAGCCGTCCTATCGTTGCAGAAGCTAAAAAATATTTTATTTACGAGCAAAATATCTATTCGGTGACACCAACAGGGTAAAGGCCTGCAAGTAAGCCTATCTGTCCAATTAGGGTATGCCTATAAACCGAAGACGCAAGGGAGAGGATAATGATAAATGCACTATGCAAGCTAAATAAAATGTCGACTTCACAATGTCAGTACACGTTCCCCGTAATAAAACTAGATTAAAAATTAAAGATTTATCTAATTAATTAATGTTTTCTGAGCATTTTTATGTGTTATAACTGCCACCTTATGGTTTTCCTCCCTCATCATATTGTAGGCTTAGTGAGTTTCGGAGATGGTTGCGGATGGCCTAAAAAGCCGGGAGTCTACACTGTGGTCTCTATGTACTACGACTGGATACAAGAGCAAATGAGAAAAATGCAACTTTAACAGATGACGATGAAATTGTTTCTTACGTTTCATGTTCTTATGTTTCATTTACGGCAAGAATGACTGCAAAACCTTTCTTTATACTAGTACCGAGAAATTGTACCGCTGTACATTTTTAAAATGTCAATAGAAACGGCGACAACTAACTTATCTGTAAAAATTATAAATGAGGCGACTGTTGTTTATTTTGGAACTGCAGTCTTGGTGTAGTTAGTTTTGTAAATACGAACACAGAGTTTTTCTGTAAAAGCCAGGACTGATAGAATGACATCACGATGATAATATACATGTATATCGGTGAAATGCACATATTAAATATCTGGCCTGGCGTGTTTTAGACACATTGATTAGATAAACCAGAGGTGCAGTTGAGGTCAATAATATTTAGTGCTCAGATAGCAAACTATGTTTGATTATTTTGGGGTCCCACATGAAATTTGAATCAAAGTTTCACTCTTCTCTGGAACCATGAATAACAATAATAATAACAATAATTATAATTAATCGGCTAACCCCAAAAAGGAACATTGCTTTATTGTCGAAAATGCAAAACGTCCATCTGTGAAACTTGGTACCCACTCTGAAAATTCAATCATCACTGGTTTTGGTCTTTGAAATATCTCCTACAAGTATAACGTTGTAAAAAATCTTCTGTATAGAGCAATTAATTGTCTTTGAGCAACTTTAGTTTGCTTGTCACTGAATATTAAAAAACGGGGAAAATGCACCCTACCGACAATAAAATAAACAGCAAATAGATAATTTTTCCCCTCGTGCTCCTAATATTATACCAGAAATGTCAAACCATCGCAATATATTTTTCGGTCAGCAAAAGAGAACAGTTTTCTCTTGCACCAAGTACTTGAACAAAATAGAACATTTTGACAATTTTTCTAGGGAACCTAGAACTAGCCATGACGCAGAGCCCCTTGAATTACAGTTTAAAAATTTATAAAAACATCCTTACGTCATGTCTAATTTACCTATCTGAACCACTACAAAATATATCGGAACGCGGTACAAAAATTAAAATTAAATGACCCGGACCGTACGTTACCGTACGTTTTTGGAATATACGTTACCATCTAGGGCTCTTTGCTTAATGTAAAGACATGGTAAAAAGTAAAATTTGAATTTAAATTGAGACAATCGTGGATTTTTGTTCTATACACATGTATGTTTAAAAAATTGAATACAACTTTGAGTTCATTCAATTTTACTTCAGCATGGGAAATGCACCTCTATATTGGATGTGGGCGTGTAGGCCTACGTGCCCCTCGTCAGTGCCTCGTGTCCCGGGTCCAACTAGCCCCGGTCTCCCCTTACCAAAGGTGAGGGAGAAGTTAGGCCTATAAAAATACAGTAAATAGGCCTATATGTGGAAATGTGCCATGGAAACTAGGGCTGATCAGCTAATATTTGATCGGCCCACTTGGTAACTTCGGGTCTTCCATCCCTGACCTTAGATAAAGAGGTTTTGCCCCGCTGGATCCGATGCGTCTGCCTCGCTCTGTAACTTAAATGACCTCGCTTGCGTTATGAAGTGTCGAGAATTGAACATAAGCCACTGTACCGAAATCGAGGCAGCAGTTTGGAAATTATGAAGCTGTGGGAGGTTTGCGTAGTTTTCAGGTGAATCTGTCAGCCGATCTATCAGATCTATAGGTAAATGATTTGGAAGCCGAATGGTAGACTCTAGTGGTGATTTGACCCAAAGTCACTGAATGTTCGAATAAAAGCTACAAGCCAGACTTGGACAGGTAAGCAATAAATAACACAGTATTTCAACTTTCTGTGTTCAGACCGTGTTATAATTTTGGTATCACTAATATACTGTGCTAATTATTTACGCTAGCTCGCACAACGTGTAGGCCTCTTTATGCTCGTATACTGAACTCGCGAGTAGGGGACACCGGGGCTAGTTGGACCCCGGGGTAAGTTGGTCCCCCATCAATTTATAAAAAAAAGTAACTATGGGGTAAAAAAATTGATTACATCATTCAGTAAATTGACCGTATCCAATAGTGCTAGGAAAGTGTTGGTCGTAAAAAAGTTTTATTTAGGCAGTGAGTTCAAATGAAAGAATTTAGAATCTCAAAGTAACTTTATTAAAGAGACTTTAAAATCTATTT